GGGCGCCTGCCCCAGCCCGCGTCGTCCCGAGCTTCAGCTCCCACCTCCTCTCCCCGCCGCGGCGCACCCCGAGCCTCCTCCTTCCCCTCAAGTTACGGCTCTGCATTTAGAGGTTATGGTCGCCACTTGGGATGAAGTTAAACTCTGAAAGTTTGTTTCAGAAAACTTGTTTTAATTATTTAAGTATAGTTTTCTAGAATACTTGACATCTTTTAAAGTGGTGTAGGAAACACGAAATGTCAATGGCTTAAAACCCTGCAGATTTCTGACCAAAATCTCCCTCTGTGGAGGTTTAAAAAAATCAAAAGCCACAGAGGAGCTGAGAGGACAGAGGCAGTGCTTCCTCTCCTCCTGCCAGAAGCAGTGAGCGCGGGAGCGGCAGGGAGCAGGACCTGCCCGAGCACGCAGCTCTGCTTCGCCCTCAGACGCTCCCTGTCCAGCTGCTCGCGCCGTGAAGCGCGCTGGCGGCAGACGACGAACAGCCAAGCAAAGAGTGAAAACGTTGGACGTGCACTTTTTAATTGTTCTTTTCAGATCAAATTGCGCAGTTAGCTGCTAACCTGAGAAAGCCCTTGTCTCCGGGAATGACGGGTCGTCCGGGCCCAGCTGGGCCCCCGGGTCCTCCCGGAGCTCCGGGAAGCGTCGGGCATCCTGGTCCTCGTGGTCCCCCTGGATACAGGGGGCCAACAGGAGAACTCGGTGATCCTGGTCCCAGAGGTAAGACTAAACCAACCGGCTTCTCTTTTATGCCCACTGAAATAAACGGCAAACTTGTTCTAATTTCAGCAGCAGAGGAGAAAAGCTCAGGCCGCGGGCAGCCGAGGGAGTTCTGGAGGAGGGCGGTTTTGCCTCTTTAGGGCTGCGGTGTAAGCGGAGATCCTGGCGCTGTCCTGAGGACTTTGAGCTCCTCTCGGTCCTTCCCCGTCCTGTCCTTGGATCCAGCCGCAGCGCACAACTCACTGCCGAAATTGTCTGTTTATGATTAAAGGTGACGCCGGCGAGAAGGGAGATAAGGGACCTGTTGGGCAGGGTATTGATGGGCCTGACGGCGATCAAGGACTTCAAGGTAAGGCTGCGCAAATCATTTAATAAACCATGACTAAAGTAAAGGCTTAAGAGGGACAGCTCTGCACATTGTTGGCAGTATATTATCGTCGCTTTGTCCCTGTAACTACAGCAGGGCTCTTTTCCTGTGGGTACAGCAGGCGCCGACAATTTGAACAGCAGAACTTAATTAGCACATCCCCTCTGCACACCGCTGCTGCCTGGGCCTGGCCGCGTTGGAGCACGTTTGTGAGACAGGCAGCTGGGCCAGCCAGCCTCTTCCTTTGCTCTCCCTTTCTTCCACTAACGGCTGCGAAAGGTCAGGAGCTGTTATAGATCGGGAAGGCAGAACCCTTCTCAACTGCTCCCATGCGGCTGCCAGTGTCAGAAGGCTGTTATTTTCAGTGGTACTTCACACGCAGTAACGAACTAGTTAATTAACGAGTAGCGTACCAGTTCATTTAAAGGTGTGTAACAGCTGTGAGGCTCCAGGTGAAGGCAGAGGGATCACGCCTGCTGCCTGGCTCCTGACGGACACGGGTCTTTTTGATGCCCGCGGTGAAAGCTACAGCCTGCGCTACCGGCTGTAGTCCTCCGCCAGTCGGTTCGTCTTTCTGGATCGAACAAGAGAAATCGGGGACAATATTTCATTTTACCAGAAACAAATATAACTTCCTAGTGCAATGATTTTGAGAGATAGCCGTGTTCTTGCTCTGGACCTGGTTACAATCCCAGCTCCTGAAGTCATGAATCCTTTATCAGAGGACTCAAAGATTAGTTTATGCAAATTCATTAATATCTATTAGAAACTCGGAAGAATATTCTTTATTTTGCTCGCCTGTTAAAGCAGCTTTTCTAATTATGATTACATCTGCACAACGATTAAGTTACAGGCACCAAAAGCAGACTCTGCATCCATATAATTTCATAAAACCAGAGTATTTATACCCAGTTGTCTTAGATTCTGCCATAAAATAATTGCATTAATCCACAAAGGCTTTCTTTTCCAAAGCGTGTAAGACGAGGCTATGTTGAAGGCGTTAGATACCGAGGGCATCTCCCCTACTCACGAAGCGCAAGCGGACCAACAGCAGGTGCAATTCAGCACTTGCACGAATAAAAGAATCGGGCACTACCCCGATAAGGACGGGATGCGGGTTCATAGACCACCCGGTACCGCGGCCCCTCAGGAGACACAGTCCTATGTTACCCTACTGAAGCAAGCTTCAGTAGCTTGCTGTCACAAAAATTCCTGTTTTGTGAATTACGTTTGGCATCTGAAGGAAAAAAGAAATTATAAAAACCCGATAGCTTGAGTCCACCCAAAGCAGAAATTCTTTTTGCCAATAACCAAAATATGTATTTCATTGTGAGCACATTTTTGGAATAAGACAGAGGCATAAAGGAAACTCCTCCTCTGTAACGTCAGGGAGATGTTCTGTATCATCAGTCTCTCTGCTCTCCTTCTCAGGATCTGAATTACAACCAGACTAAGGAGGTGCAACGCCTGGAGGCAGCTGAAGGCCGCTGCCTCCCGCTACGGGGCGAGCTGGGGGCCAGGGAGGAGGGACAGTTGTGAGGGCTCCCGGTGTCACAAAAGCTGTGAGCTCACCCACCAGGGTGTCCCTTGAGCCGGCTATTCGGGGACGATGTAAAATGATTCCGGTTGTAAATCACTTGTTATTATTCCTGGGGTCGTACGCTAACTGGGGCGGTACCGAGGTGGGAGCCCGTTCTGCAGTGGGCTATACCGAGGTAATTCCAGTAAATCCAGAGGTGCTCTAAAAAATCCAACGCACGTACTCCAGATTCAGGCTAAATTTATTCAACACCTTGTACTCAACAGGCCGTAACAAGTCTGATGTACAGACACTCAAAGGATTTTAAGAACTCTAAAAGTAATACACATACATACACACATATATATATTAAAAAAAAAAAAAAGGGAAGGAAATAATTCCTGTAATCTTTTCCCCCTTCTTGTTTAGGACCGCCTGGTGTACCTGGAATTACTAAAAATGGTCGCGATGGTGCTCAGGGTGAACCCGGTCTTCCAGGGGATCCCGGTACTCCTGGTGCTGTTGGGGCTCAGGGAACTCCAGGAATATGTGACACGTCGGCTTGCATGGGAGCTGTTGGAGCATCAACTTCCAAAAAATCATAGAACAACAGTGCAAGAAGTGGAGAAGTGACTGAATATTTAAATAAACAGTGCATTGTAAGAAAAGAGACAGAGCCCTCCTAGTGATAAATGGACAGATGTTCCTTCTATTGTATTAAGTGGAGACTTTGACACAGTTCTATGAAAAAGAAAGCATCAGACGAAAGCTTTAATTAAAAGATGCTCTCCTCCCCCCAGTTATTTTCCAGAATTGTTACTGCTAAGCCACCTCACCTTCCCTTCCTCCCTTTGTTCAAGAGAGCCGCAAGAGGAAGCATTGCTCCTTTCTACCCTCACCCCCAAGCTCACGACTTCTCTGTTGAAGCGTTTGAGCCCCGTCAATTGAATTCCCTGGTGCTGCTCCCCCTGCCTTCAGTTAGCGCGCAGCCCCGCAGGAGCTCCGCGGTGTTACGGCAGCAGTGCAAACGAGGCACTGAAATAGCCCCTATTTTAATATCCCGAAATTCTGGCCTAAGGAAAGACCATAGCTTACGTCTGTGCTGTCAGTTTTCAGATTGCACCTCAAATACTTGCCAAGACTAGTAAATAGCAATCCTCTTGCAATCCGATTCTGCAACAGGTGTAATGTATATATTTGAATTTGCAGGGGAGAATTTTTGTATATTTCCATATGATAAGAGAGGAAATGAAGTAACAGCATTTTCACGACCTCTACTTAAGCTATTTGCACAGTAATTGTGAACGAAACCCCAACCAAGAAAGGATGCTCTTCTAACTCCAGCCAAACACACCTGTATGAACTGTTGTAAAAATAAAAGGAGTTTTTTTTAACCTGTTCTTTGTGATATTGTAAGTGTCATTATGCACATCAAATTAACTCAGCTGAACTCCATTTTCCAGAAGTGGTTTTACTAGGATGGTTTGGAAATAAATTGCTGCAAAATTGTCCATATCCGTGATTTAAAACAGTATTTATTTTGGGAGACCTTTTTGTACTTTAAAACCTGTTAGCATCATCTATTTTAAAAAATTAATAAAACCACTCTCAGCTCACACACTATTCTATCTCGGCCCTGTATGCTAAAGCTTATGAACAAAGGAGCGGTATTAATCTTTAAATATGAGAATAGTTTCTGCGTTTAAATAATCTACTGTTTACAATATGCCACTCTTGGCCTAACAATACAAGAAACTGTTGGACAGTTCTGTGATAGACATTAAAAATAGTACTGTATTTTATAAAAAAAAAAATGCTAACACCATTGTATTACTCTTCAGGGCCAAGTACTTTAAAGTATGTATGGCAACTGCGAACTTCTTAATATCAGCACAGCTTAGAAACTATGCACTTACTCAACCAATCTAGCCTTTAAATTTTTAATGGCAAAAATGGGTATTCTAATATGGTAACTTTAATTTCTTTTTACACTTGAAGAGTACATTTGCATCGAGTCATTAAAATAACAGGGCAGACAGTTGTAGAACATCAATTCCTAACTGTACAGGATCATGTTTAAAAAAAAAAACCCCAAAGCAGAACCACAAACAGAAACAGAACCTATTTTTTGTAACTAAAGGGGAAAAATACTTAGCTGTCATGACATTTTCTTGTAGCTTTTGGTCCCAAAGCCCCTCTAACAGAGCACTGATTTCTATTGCTGGTAGTTACATTCATTTCCGTTTTGAATAAAGAATGGTTTCTTTAAAGCTCTATTTATATATTTTCACAAGCTATACTTTGCAATTCATATTCAGCACGTAAACGGAGAAAATAAATACAGTTTGGGCCGCTGCTAGCCACATGCGTCATACATTTCAAGGCGGTCGGTTCAGACTACTTGGTCTCCGTAGCTGTGCGTGTTTTCCTGCACTGGACACGTTACAAATGAGTCTGATCTTGCTATTTTTAGTCTCCTGCCTGTTTTACCACAGAACACAGTCTCAAATTCCTAAAAAAAAATCAAAATACAAAAAATAAGTAACAATTCTGTTTAATGTAGATACGTACTTGAATTTGATCTTTCTGTTGCACTAGAGTCTTGGAAAAACCAGCTTTCATAGGAAGTGCTGAGGAGCCATCCCAGTATCTTGACACGCAGGTTTTCCTACGCACATTCCCTCTACTGTCTCAAGATACTGCGCAGAGCCAGAATTACTCTGGGCTGCAACTACTGGTGCGGTTGCATGGGAGCTGCTTATAGGGCACATCATAAACCCTCACGACTCTCACCCACTTTGAGAGAGCGTGGGCACGGCGCTGGGAAGTCCATCACTTACTTAACTACCAGCTCACAAAAGCCAGCTAGAAGACAACTCCGTGAAACGAGCAGAAAATAGAGAAAATGAAGGAGGGGAGGGCGGGGAGGAATGATTGAGGAGGACCTCAATTCTACATTGTTGTCTAGATAGTATCAGGCTCAGGAACCGGGCTAACTAAAAGAAAACAAAAATTAAAATTTGATCTGAAAACCCTGACTAAGGACAGCCTGTGATTTCACACTACTGAACTGAAACTGCCGTGAGGACAGCTACTCAAAACAAGGCGTTTTTAAAAGGAAGTTTCAATGATACAGAGGTCCTTCACAAACAGCATCAAGCAGAAGCATTCCATAGACTTTGAGCTATGTTATGATAGCTTTAAAACATTTCACATTTTTTTATCGAGAACAAAAATGAAATTAGGTTTAAAACCTGTTTCAGAGAATCACCATGCCTTTCCTGGATGTACTTCAGAAACGCAGTTGTCCATTGCAAAGTTGTTGCCTTATCAGTATCAACAGTACAGAACGGAACCAGAAGATTCAGCTCATCGCAACAAATCCGGATTCTGCGCCTGCAGGCAAATACAAAAGGTTACCAACCGATGGGCGAGAAGGAAGGAAAAAAATAAAAAAAGGAAGACTACTCACATGCACTGCAAGCCATCGACTTTGGGGGCTCCTTTTTGTTTGCTACAAGTTTTGTATTTATTTGTTTATTAGTCACGTTATACGCAAGTTACCTTATCTTTACAGAACTGGTTAAATGTTTTGAAATCTTTTTGTTTGTTTGTAGAGTAAAAAAAACAACAAAGACCAAAGACGAGCACAGTGAAACATACATATTTTTCCCTCTAACAAACACAAACCTTCACCACCTGCATTGCTTTTTCTGGTAAGTAAAACAAAATATGTCAAATTTACATTTTACTCTGGATAATGACAGGAGTATTACAGTATCGGTATTTCAGGCTTCAAAACCTTTGTCTTGCCACCGCTCACAGAAGTTACCTTCTGTCTCTCTCCATGCGGTTATGTCTTTCTCTTCGCTGAGCGATTCCATCCTGCGTACTGCTTTGCACCTGCATACTTGAATTTGACTGTGCTGGCTGCCAAGGACCCTGGGCAGATGCCGTACTCTGGCTATCATCACACATATTCTGAATTTCACTAAGAGGTTTGCGATCTATGTTTGTATCCGATGGGCTTAGTCGGCTGCAACTTTTTCTGTTTATCACTTGCTTGCATAAGGTGTCTTCTTGGAAAAACAAAGAGGAAAAGAAGAACCCATTTATAACCCTCCCACTAACGGCTGAAAATTAAGATCATGGAAATTTCTTTTTTGTCACTTTATTTATGTGGAATAATCTTTGAAGCTTTATTGACAACCAAGATTGACCCTTACAGCAACGCACGTTCTTCGGAAGCCCTAAGGCACCGCTTGCTGTTTCCTCAGAGCCCACTGAGATCAGGCCTGCCTTTGGTGAGCGTTTGAGGCAGTCCTTTACCTGTTCTTCAGTTTAATACGGACTGGATCTGCTCTATCAACTTTGGGGTCAAAGGGTGTAGAAAGAAACCAGTTGCTTACTCTAGGCCCAGATTTTCCAAGGCACTTTGCAACCTTGGGTTTTCTCACTGCAAGGCAGAATTGCTAAACAATTTTGAAAGTACGGCTAAAATCATAGGTGTTGAATTTTTTTGAAAAATCTAGCCCCATATTGCCTACAGCACATCTCCGACATGAAAAACACACCTCCTACGATTCACTAAAATCATATTCATTCTAAAAAACACACAAACTCAGAAAAAATCGTAGATTTGAAGGCCAAGAGAAAGCTAAGTGAAAAGAAGACAAAGGGTTTACCTCCAACTTTAATCCAAACTTCCTCAGGCAAAGCTTTATTCATCGCACCTGCTGTCTGTTTTGTGGATTCAATTTCCTGATAGCAGAAAGAGAATGTCTTGGGTATCCCAAGGTCTTGATGTTTGGCAGCTTCCAAAATAGTACAAGACGTTCCAGAGGTCTGTAAAAACCAAAAAAGAAACACCGAGAGGACAACATACATTAAAAAGAGACTATTTTGATGTCTTCACGTTAGCTTCTTAAGTTTTAGCCCCATGATTCAATGTGTCGTATCAGAATAAATCCCAATTACTTCTGCACACTACAACCATAGGATTTTAACAGATTGCTGATTTTTTGGGGGATACCTCTGACATTTCTGAGTGCCGTGCTATCACTCTTGCTTCAGAGGTTACTGCGAGTTGGGGAAAAAATAAATTTTTAATCTAATCTATCAAAATGAATTAGAAAAAAAAAAGGAACCATAGAAAATGGCACTAAGTGTCTCCTTCTTGTCTTGTGCAGATGATACATTGATAAACTCAAGAAAAAACGTCCTTCTAGTAAGAAACCTAATGGCCTATTGATCATTACCTGGATGCCCGTTATTACAAATGACATAACTGCCACACAATTGATTCGTGTGGCAAATCGCTTTTGATGGTCCTAAAGATGAACATAAAAATAAGTAACTCGCATTACAGATCATTCCGATCATCCCTATCGCAACCATGTCACACTTTGACACAAACCTTTAGAACGATAGTACACCTCGGAGGTTAACATTATTAGCATTTGAAATTAGCAGAGTACAACTAGCGGGGAATAGGTTATCATCTACCTGCGCTTGTGAGGGATTAGCGCTCGCCGCAGTAGAACATGCGTTCATAGTAAATAACGGGTATGTGAACTGTAAAGAAGGCGTGGCAGGTGCAGTCTTATTTTTTGCTACTGCAGTAGACTTGTTTTCTTGCTGATGAAGAGGAACACCTATCAGTTCTGACGGCTGTCGAATCAATGTTACTAAACTTAAAAAAAAAAAAAACACACCACAGAAAACATACCAAATGGACTACTTGAAAATGAGTGCAGAAAAATTTACAGCTACACATACTTCTAGAAACTATCACCAAGAAACCACTTTCATTTACTGTAAACAGAAATCATTGTTATTGCCATATTGCCTACTTCAGGGACAAAAAAAAAAAAATCAGCTGAGAAGATATTCTGTTCTGTGCAGTAATATTCTGCCTTGTGCCTCGATAAACTGTTTTATCAGCACACTAATACAGTAACAGGGCCACACTGTAAAATGGTATTTTTGCTCCAAGTTTTACCCATTATCAGGCTTCCACATTGTAACACTAATCAGTTGCTCTTAGTATTTCATTATGATCAAGAATCTACTTTGCTATTAGCAAGTTGTATGGTAAAACTAGGTAATGATGTTCTTCTCTCACCTTTATTTACACTACATATTGTTATCAAGAATAACGTCGTAATTAATTTTGGAACTACATTCTGCACTATTTATGCTTTACACAGAGGGGCCTAATCTGAGGTCAGTGGAGTTGCAGCCACATTTGACCGGCAGAGTTTAAAAAAGCCCAACCCATCATTCTCACGTATTAAAAAAAGTACTGTCCTTAGGTCTCACGTAGAAAATCAGTTTTCAACTATAGGATGATACATAGTTTTAACAACATAAACTAAAATTAATTGCAACACACTTGTTAAGAGTTACTCCAGATTCTTGGGGGTCTTGACATCTGGGGTTTTCTGTCTGGATGCTGTTGAATCTGTCTTCCAACCGAACTCTGACTGCAGATTTAGATCTAGGCTCTGGTGCCAGTGCCAAATTTTCAACGGGTACGTTTCCTTTATTCGCCCCAACAAAATTTTCACCATGTTTAACTTTTACTAAACTGTGTCCTGGGATGTCTACAGAGCTACTGTTAGGCGTTTTGCCCGTTTGGTTCAAAGGGAGGTTAGACTCGCTAAGTAACATCATTCTGAGCTCCTGAAAGTCAGCATAGCCCAAATGCGGGTTTGAACTTAGCAAACTGCTATCAGAAGATAATCCTGACTGACAGATAACGGGGTAAACCGCCCGGTTCCCAGCGCTGTTTGATGAACGCCCCTCCTGACCGGTGTTCAGTGAGGTCTGGTGCAGAGGGGGGTCTGCAGAGTCACCAGGCGAGGAGAAAGAATTGAGCCTAGCTTCCACTTCACCTTCGCTAGCTTGTGCCTCCGTATGTGAGTAAAGTATGTGCTGCAGCTGGGTACACTCAATTTCCATCATCTCCACCAGGCTGACGTCTGCGGTGGTGAAGCTAAGATTTTGCTCACCAAAGGAAACGTCACTTGAGCCTCCAGGTCCGCCAGCAACGGGAGCAGGATCGGGAACACTAGCTGTGCTTTGAGGAATGGAGGTCTGAGGCTCCTCTGGGGCCGACTCTGACATGACTACAGTAAACCTAATCAGTTACCAAGGTCTCTTTCAACAGTAAACCATAAAACCTGCGAAAATTATCAGTACTATCCATTAAAAAAGGCAAAAAAATTGCACTTAATACTGATTCCGTACCACTGCCAGGTAACGAAGCAAGGAACAAGCTCCTGATGGCGGGGTACCAGACCGCCTAACCGTGCCCCCCGCTCCAGCGGCCCCCTCTGAATCCCTCCCTCCCGCTCCAACACAGCCGCTCACAAGAAACGGATTTCACCTGCCAGCACCCGGCCTGGGGAGGGCGGCTCTGGGCACCCTGCTGCCTAAGCCTCCCTCAGAAGAGCCCCCATGTGCCTGCGGGCCCCAAGGCGGGGCGCGGGCCCCGGCTGACAGGAGCTGGGAGCAGCCAGCGCCCCCCCGCAACGCCCCGCGGGCGCAGGCTGCCCCCGGCGGCGGGGGAGGGGGGGGGGGCCCCCGGCCCCCCA